CACGTTTCCGTGAAGCTGAAAGCCATGTCAGCTCCATTTGGTCTGTACACGTTGCTTCACTCAGTGTTGAAGAATGGACACGTGCAGGCATGTCAACTGCTTCTAAAATAATCATTATCGATGCTGGTTGTTGTTAAAGCCTACTGAATCAGTTACTGAATCTTGTGAATAGTTTCCCGGACGCAGTTCACCATTTAATAACGGCAGGGATTGATACAGGTTTTAATAAATAGACATATCAAAGTAAAACGTAAGTCTTACTGGCATCTTTAAATCATATGCACATAGGAACAGGTTCAACACAACTCACTATAGACTGTCATGTAAAATAGAAATTTGAATAAAATATCATACCATGTATTAATTAGCAGAAGCCAGAGAAGCTAGAAGCCCTATTGACGTTGTGGAATATATAATATATTATTCCGCCGTTTGTTTTGTAATGATTGTAACTCAAGCACAAAGGACAAACTCGTAGGCAGACCTTCAAGACTGTTTGGGTACCTTGAGAATGTGTAATTCAATGGAAGCGAAAACTTATCAGCCGAGTGTTTGGTCACACATTTAAGAAATTTATATACCTCCGAAAAGGGCAGCTATTTGTATGCATATTTCACTTCATTCAGTGCTTGATGGTGATGGTTTGGTGAAGTAAAATCTGGCGTCGTTACGTCTTCATCATGACTGGCAGCACCCTGTGTAATTCGATGGTTCCGTCTGTGAAAATCTTGAACAGATATTACAACCAACCAAGGGAGGGACAGGTTCAGACTCGACAGAACATGTCAGATCGTTATCGGTGCTTACAAGTGCAGAAACGCATTCTTACTGTTTTACATTTTATTATTTTTGTATTGGTCGTTCACTGATTTTGCAATTTAGCCTTTCCGCACGAGTCCTACCATCAATATGGTGCAACAAATACCGACTCTCCTTAGACCGATGAATCCCCCTGCATGACCTCAAGTTCCAGTGTACTCGGCAAGCCTGACACCAAGCTAAACGGTCCGCAAGTGCTGGGGTGAGAGGAGTGGACGTCTTATTGGTCTTCTGGCCCTTATTCCTGCTGCATTCAGTCGACGCCTGATGGTGCCAGGGGATACTCTGTTGTGGGTATGCCAGTGATGACGAAGAACAGTGCAAGTTGAAGTTGGCATCCGTTGCCTGGCGTACAAGGACCCTGTCCTCTCTGGCACTGGTCTTCTGCGGACGTCCTGATCTCGGCAAGTCCCTCACATGTCCAGTGAACGTTTGTCTTCCAATTAGTCGACTGATTGCAGTAAGATAAATGTTAACAAGGTGACAAAAGCCCCACATGCCATGCCAGTTTGGTGCATGCCATGTGATTTGCCACCTTTGGCTTCTGGGATAGTAAGCTTAGGCATTTTCGAAACACTCTTTCAATTCAAAATTGTTCAAAAGCAATAGTAGTAAAGACGCACGAACGTTCTGTCATCAAACATGAATATCCACATTGAAAATAAACTCGCATTTACACTTCAAATTTGATGGTGCAATACTTTTGACGAGGTGTATGTAATCAGTATGAATTAATTGGCAATGTTTGTATGGATAAGAAGTAAGAAGCTGGGAGCCTGTTATTAGAGTATGTACTGATGCGAATCACGAGATACAGATGACCCCGTCGTCTCAAGGGTTGCAGATTGCTGTGCAGAGATGCGTACATGTACGTCACGCAGTGCAAAGATCACGCTAACGAATCATATATCGTGCACAGGGAACATGAGCTCTTCTGGAAATACTAGCAATTATGTTAAATACTTTACATTTGGAGGGGAGAGACGCTAGTTAAATGGGTTTAGAGTTACTTCTTTGAGGGGCATTTATAAGTTAAGAGTCCGAAGTAAGGATAAATGTATGGATGAAAAACTTCCTTATAACAATTAGGATCGACGATTCGGTGTAGGTTCTAACCCCGTAACAAGACACTTGTTTGATAACGGTGTTAGAACCTACAACGAAACGTCGCTCCTAATTGTAATAAAGAAGTTGTGTGCCCATAAATCTTATCTTTACTTGGGTTTAGAGTTGTTTGGTTTGGGAAGATATAGACAGTTGATTTATTGTACAATGTGCAGTTAAAACTTACAGTGTAAACTGTATCTGACAGCCTGGAATAGTCAGACTCCGAACGATACATCAGTGGGGATTGTGCTTGGAACAATCACAGTTATATATTGTTAGTACTTGGGTTAGTGAGTGAATATTGTTTAACTCTGAAGTGAATCACTGTTATCACGCTGACGCGTTGTAAATCAAATCTGTGCTTGAACACAAGTTATTCACATTGCATGTGACGCCTGACTATAAGCAATGACACAAGATGTGTCGGTTTCCGGATCAGAACTGACCTGGAAACCCTATCTGGTCAACAACCAATGGACGTGATCCTTGAAGTGTCTACTCTTTGATGGAGCAGGGAGTCCCTTTTTCACGAAACGAAAATGCCCAGATAGAAAAAAATACCTTATATACAATGAGTGAGTGAGTGAGTATGGTTTTACGCCGCTTTTAGCAATATTCCAGCAATATCACGGCGGGGGACACAGGAAATGGGCTGCACACATTGTACCCATGTCGGGAATCGAACCCGGGTCTTCGGCGTGACGGGCGAACCCTTTACTCATATGCATCAGGATACACAACATTGAGTAGGTGCATATCACACAATACATAGTAAAACCTGACCGATCTCAAGTGTATCCCATTGAATTTCAACGTAACGAAGTTTGTATTAGTTAAACATGCATGTACCGATGTCACAATGTTCATATATAAGATTTAAGGTAATACACACGTCAATGATCAATTGTGATTATCAAAGAACCATTGGGATTTAGGATAGAGCATTGTGTAGTTATGACTGTATGCATTTAACACATGTCACCGACATTCTCCCGATTATAATCTGTGATTCGTTTGGAACATACCAAAGTCCGTGGTCTTGTGTCACTGTCCTCGACTCCCATATTCGAACCAAAGTCAATATAACTCGCTTATCCTCAACCTAACAAGGTTAGCCATTTTTATACATACCTTGATGTTCAGGGCCACTGACGTGAAAATCGTTGGTCCAACCATGGCAGTACTGAGTACTATACATGTTATCAACATTGTATTTTCTTTCTTCATCAACTCATCGTTTATCAAATTATACAGCATGAAACAGGTGATGGGAACTGCCGCAGCATAGCCAGACCCGATCATGTGCATGAACACGTCGCTTATCGTGCTGACAAGAGAACACGTGTCTTCAAACTGTCGACGAATTCGCTCAGTATGTGACACTGGTGAGTCTCCTTCATACTTGTCAACCATATTGCTTAAGTCAACGTTTAGCTGTTTAAACTCCTTGAACAGGCAATAGGTAAGGAAATAGAAAAATATCAAGAAACATATTTAGGAAACATTCTAGCCCTACTACATATGGGATTGACGCATTTCTCTGCATCACCACAATCAAGTGGATGCACCTTTGAAAGAAACATATCTTCTGTGTGACCAACACAATATTGAAAACCAGTGTGTACAGTGTAGATAAATACTAACGTAAAAAACCCCGAGATACATCCAAGATATGCATTGATGTTTCGATGGGAAACATTCATGAATTATTTTATGAAGTAGCGTTTCTTTTGCGGTTCAGTATATAATACGCAATCTGAAACTTCATAATATATTATTTGCTAGTCAAGAATAATAAGCGCGAAAGAGCTTGTATTGGAAGTGGAAATTATAATTTTAATGTTAGTTTCGGCTTATCGAATGCAGAATGATAGAGTAATGCTATTTTTTAATGTGTTTGTTTTTGTATTCCATGAAATGGATGCACACAACTGAGGTTTTCTGGATGAAGCTGCGGAGGAACGCAAACCCTGACTGGCAAAAAACTAATTGACTATAGGTAATTAAAACTAGAAAAATACCAGTGAATATAAATTAATGAAAAAGAAAATTTACCATTATAAGTAAAATAACATTCATTACGATTCTTATCTTACATTCAGTTCACTAAATGGATTTTGTGGTCAGGCTAAGTGATTTGCGAATCATCGTTGCACGGTGGCTTGGGACGTTGCATTATCTTACATTCAGTTATACAAAAAAATTTAAATCATTGTTTTCACCCCTATACAATTTAATTGTATCCTTTTCTAAGATACAAATTGTGACAAGCGTGTTGTTTGTCTGACATGAAGTGTATTCAATTAAATTGATTTTCAATCAAATATAAAGATCTTCATTATTGAATGCTACTTATTATTGTAGTTTCACATTGCGATGCACATCGTTTGTCAATGACTACTTCAGATACGTTGTGACCTATACCCTTGATGGGATGGTCTCGGAAACCTCTTCAAAACGTATCATGTACAATAGGGTCGATACTCAATTTCCATGTGATAACGTCAATAAGTGTATGGCTATTGAAGAACCTGGTTTAATGACACATACATGTATGTTCGTGAAAGCAATGCCATCATGCTACCCGTACCTTTGAGGGTATTCAGCGAGAAAATATCATCCTTCGAGGTGGAAAATGTTAAATTGATATTGAGCAACACTACTGAGATATATATCGATTATTGGGCGCTCAAGACATCAAATCAGTTTTAACATATTCTCGTTTGATAGCAATGAAAAAGTAATAATGCTCTGTTTCTCATCATTTTTATTGTTTGTCTGTGATGGATAGTTATTTTACAATGTTTCTGTCCTTCACTGAAGATCGGGGGAAAAGACATTGTTCTTTGTCGTCACTGTTTCATCTCTTTGTCGTAGCAATAAATGGATATAATCATTATTTAGTTTAATTCTAACATCTACACTCTATGCTGTTGATGTGTAAATAAATGTCAGTCAGGCTTGAATTGAAGAACCACAATGACGTAAGTCAACATTGTTCCAGTGAGCTGAAATCAAACAGAAACATCATATCATATTCAAACTTGCGGGTGTAACGATCAGTCCAACTGAACGATAGATGAATGGCACGTGGTCGGAAGGCAGTAGATGCACAAGTTGAAATATCAGAAGTTAAGAGCGATATCACCCTAAACAATCGACATATCTTTTTCATTTGTTATATCCATATACATATTGTTAAAGAGGCATTTGTTGTCACCGCGAAGGACATAATACATAACAATACTCACGTAACTCCTATAACCCGTATATCCCACAATTAAGACTTACATCTACCACCACAGTACTTACCATTAGGATGGTCGAACTGTCGACTGTGAAGAGATTGTACAGGGTATACCCAATATTTGTGGTTGTTATTCTTGTAATGAAAACGGTAATCTGAAATAGGAAAAATACAGAAATAACAGCATTTATTGTGTTACTACGGAGAAGCATCAGGCAACAAACAAACACTTACTTTATATGCTAATTGAGTGAGCGGAGGATTTTAAAGATTTCGTACGGAAGCGTCGGTGCCCCCGACAAATTCAAAGACCGGAGCCGCTGTCCAGCTGTGGATACAGAAGCAGGTTACATAACACGTGGTTTGATCCAATATCTTTTAATCTATTTGGACTGGCGTCGTGCAAATTTATACCTGTGTAGATTTGTAAAAATACCTTCTGTGTATAATGATCAGAATAGTTATTATTAGAACTGACAAAATACTATCAGTGCTGCTTATTTGTATATATTCGCCTGTTTAGACATACTCACGCTATTTGAGTCTAACAGTTAACTGCTTACTTAAATCGTTAATGCTTTAACTTGTTCGTTGTTGCTTCGTGTTAATAATAATCCTTAAACCATCAGTTGGTTTATCTGTGTCAATGCACCTTAATGCAATTGGGCGGTTAAACCATTTATTTGTCAACCACGTATGTGTATTCACTCCCGTTTTAAATAATTATCTTTTGACAAGTACGAGTCGGCTCCACTGTGAGTGAGGCATTACTCTTGCGACCCGTGAAGATCCAAGGTAGAATAGGTCTTCAGCAATCCATGCATGCCGTAAACGGGATCGGGTGGTCAGGCTCGCTGACTTGGTTGATGCATGTCATCATATCCCAATTTCGGGGATCGATGCGCATGGTGCCAATCACTGGAATGTCCGGTTCAGACGCAAACAAGCAAACTATGGCGATGAATACGAGGGCCCACGTTCAAACAATGACGAGTTGGCACGTCTCTGGTTGAAACATTATTTGTAATAGTTAATTAAGCACCGTGACATCCACCAGTAGAATTCTTTTTGAATCCATGAAAACCGAAGCCATCACCTTGCCAGCTGATGGAACATACTTTGAAAACGTTGGATCCTTCCACTTCTTAGATTGTTTGTTTAGTTTCTGGAGGATTGTGGCGAATCTAAGGCGCATCCATGGTGTCGCATCACTCAACAAACTCATTTGGGTCTGCTTCAAAACGACGAATATTCTCACGAGAGTAGACTAACTTGGAGCGCTTCTGAGTTAGAAGCCTTGGTAGCCAATCAGCTGATAATTGACATGCCCAGTTTATTCCTCAGGCTCAACTCACCCATGAAAGCTTTTCAGCCGCCCCTCGTGTTCCTTTGCGTACTTAGAAAGGTCCAACATTACACGATTTGTTTATAAATTATTATCTAATGTAAAAGCGTAATAAATGTCTCAATTTCAAATTCTTCTTTGTCCTAATGTTTTCTGAAGGGCCTGTGTCATAAAATATAAAAGTGTCATTACTCGCTGTCCAGCTGTGGATACAGAAGCAGGTTACATAACACGTGGTTTGATCCAATATCTGTTAATCTATTTGGACTGGCGTCGTGCAAATTTATACCTGTGTAGATTTGTAAAAATACCTTCTGTGTATAATGATCAGAATAGTTATTATTAGAACTGACAAAATACTATCAGTGCTGCTTATTTGTATATATTCGCCTGTTTAGACATACTCACGCTATTTGAGTCTAACAGTTAACTGCTTACTTAAATCGTTAATGCTTTAACTTGTTCGTTGTTGCTTCGTGTTGATAATAATCCTTAAACCATCAGTTGGTTTATCTGTGTCAATGCACCTTAATGCAATTGGGCGGTTAAACCATTTATTTGTCAACCACGTATGTGTATTCACTCCCGTTTTAAATAGTTATCTTTTGACAAGTACGAGTCGGCTCCACTGTGTGTGAGGCATTACTCTTGCGACCCGTGAAGATCCAATGTAGAATAGGTCTTCAGCAATCCATGCATGCCGTAAACGGGATCGGGTGGTCAGGCTCGCTGACTTGGTTGATGCATGTCATCATATCCCAATTTCGGGGATCGATGCGCATGGTGCCAATCACTGGAATGTCCGGTTCAGACTCGATTATTTACAGACCGTCGTCATATAGCGGGAATATTCCTGAGTGCGGCGTTAAACAACAAACAAACAAATATTACTCTTGCGTAGGAGGTGTAATTGTTAATCAAACACTTTGGAAAGAGGAACAATTGGGGAATCGTCTGGGATTTTACGGTGCTTTTGTTGAGCCCAAGATACCATTATTTAGAAAACACTGTAAATTCCCATTGTGAATGTTACTTTGGTATTTCTTGGAGAGTGTGTATTACCCCTCGTGGAAGACGCAAACAAGCAAACTATGGCGATGAATACGAGGGCCCACGTTCAAACAATGACGAGTTGGCACGTCTCTGGTTGAAGCATTATTTGTAATAGTTAATTAAGCACCGTGACATCCACCAGTAGAATTCTTTTTGAATCCATGAAAACCGAAGCCATCACCTTGCCAGATGATGGAACATACTTTGAAAACGTTGGATCCTTCCACTTCTTAGATTGTTTGTTTAGTTTCTGGAGGATTGTGGCGAATCTAAGGCGCATACATAGTGTCGCATCACTCAACAAACTCATTTGGGTCTGCTTCAAAAAGACGAATATTCTCACGAGAGTAGACTAACTTGGAGCGCTTCTGAGTTAGAAGCCTTGGAAGCCAAAGAGTTGATAATTGTCATGCCCAGTTAATTCCTCAGGCTCAACTCACCCATGAAAGCTTTTCAGCCACCCCTCGAATTCCTTCGAGTACTTAGAAAGGTCCAACATTACACGATTTGTTTATAAATTATTATCTAATGTAAAAGCGTAATAAATGTCTCAATTTCAAATTCTTGTTTGTCCTAATGTTTTCTGAAGGTCCTGTGTCATAAAATATAAAAGTGTCATGACTTACGATTTGCAGATCTTTGTGTGGCAATCTTGACAAATCAACCTTGAGGAGGCACGTCAGACTGGAATGGGCCTACATAGAGAAACATGATCATTTTTTCCTCTTCTTTGTGATTTGATTAATGTAGTACATCCTTAATCAATAACCTATATTATTATCACATACATACTGATCCTGTTGTGAAATATGGAATATTTAAAAGTGTGCTATGTTGGCGAACAGCATCAATGCCTGTTGTAGAGCGAGTAAGTAATACAGCAATTCCACTGTGAGTGGAACCCGTTTTGATAAAATCCACTATGTTACTGACAGAAAATGGGCCATCGAGGATTTGAACCCAAGCCCAAGGGACATGACTTTGCACATTCAGATGATGGGTATAAAGTCGAGTGAGGCCAAGATTGAAGTCCTGTTATCAGGATGCTATTGGGTTTAACATAAGTACAATCTGCCTCAATGTAGGTTTCCCTGGTTGTTATATAACGGAGATGTTGTTCAAATGATAATAATAATAATAATAATAATAATAATAATAATAATAATTACAAAATTCTATGGAATAGGCCTGTATACAGCCTGAGACCTATCCAGTCTAACAAACCTCATTTTGTCCTTTTTGATCAAACCAATGAAATCATTTATATCTCTCTTTTGACACTAATGTGGTTGACAAGATTCAAACAAACATGGCAAATATGAATTCCTCGCTTTCGAAATGCATTCCAAGTACCAAGTTGTCCGACTCTTCATTGTTTTTGGTGCCTTAGGTTTGGTACCTCCAAATCTGTTGACTGACATTGAGAGAGTACCTGGGTTTGCTGCCAGGAATACAGCCCTTCCAACAATCTGTGTAATGCAGAAGGCTGCAGTGTTGGGGAGTCTCGATATTCTACGAAACGCTCTCGGGGGGTTTGACAAGGCAGCTCTTCCTGGGAGAAGTCCCATATGTTGTCTGGGCTGCGGGTACAGGCGGCAAGGGCCCTGAGCTGATCATGAACCTAACCAGCCTGACTGTCATGATCACCCAAATATATTAATATCAATATTAATTTGCCAAGTAATAGTTGAGAGATAGTAAAGTTTACCTTGAAGTTCAAAGCCACTGAAGTCAAAGTCAAAACGACAACAATCGTCATAACGACCACCAGGGATTCAATCAACATTATGATCTCTTCTATCATCAAGTCATTGTGTATCAAGCCATAGAGCATAAGGCAGATGACAGGAACGGATGCAATGTAGCAGGAGCCGATCACATGTTTGAATACCTCATCAGCCGTTTCTACAAGAGAACAAATGTCTTCAAACTGTCTACGAATTCTGTCAATTTCTCTTGTTGATGGCGCATCTTTACCCGCTTTGTCAAAGACGTGTTTTATTTGAGAATTTGTCCTAGAATATTCCTTGGAGAGACAGTACGTGAAAATGACGAAAAATGTTAAGATGGCGGTCATCTGAAGTATGCAAAGCCAAAGCCAAACATTGTATACTGTTTTGAAGATGAGATGGTAGTCCTCTTGAATGGAGCCCAAAGGTGAGAGATGTATTGCTTTGGGATTAACATTATAAAACGTTGTCATATATATAAATGCCTGGATGATACAACTGTGACATAAAAGCAGACACAACAGTATTTTAACTATTCGCCTGATTTTAGCATTGTCAGTGGCTGAGCCATAACTCTTTCGATATGAGTCAAATTCCTTAAACAACTTTGGCAGGTGTCTGTTGATGCTGAAACAAGTCGCAAAGGTGAAGTAAGAACAAGTGACTTGAAACCCACAGTAAGACAGCAGAGTCGTCCATTTGCCCACAGTATCAGTGCCACGTGTGAAGAGAAAAAAACGAGTGTTTCCGAGGCAAAGACAGACATAGAAGCAAACGCTGTACCCGATGCTTAAAGCATTGAAAGCCTTTCGTCTTTTCATTGGCATATGCATCCCTGCTAAGTCAAGAAGTGTCATCAGTGGATTGAAACACCATTCCAGGTCTGTGTTGGCGATATCTTCAACTGCCACAGGATTATCCACTGATACAGACATCTTTGTCTTGAACAAATGCAAACGTTATGAGGCCTACAGTGTATTTCCAACCTCACTCGAATGAGTATGGGTGCATCTAAAGCAAATGCCAGGTTGCTATTAGACATAATGAATGCGTGTACAAACTGGAGAGTTATGTGTCAATTCTTCAGCCTCTAATGGGAAAAAGTACTTAGTAGCTAAAACATTAATTATTGCACACAATACTTATGCCGACTCGTCAGACTTTCCATTCTGATGACGGCGATGCTTGCTGCTGTGTATGTACACACCCGTTAAGTATTGAGGATCAATTACACATGTGACCGAGGCGCCGACTGCTTAATGTCACAATGGAACCATTAGCTGTACACACTGCATTAAATCGTTTTTTTGCTTGTGTCTATACTTGTGTTGCTAGATATTTATATAAACGGCATTCAGAATTATCAATAATATTGATTAGTTAATGGGTTTAGAGCTGATAATGGCTTAGAAGCTTCATATTTCCAGGGGTTGATTGCGTGAATTAGGGGGAAAAAAATCGGTTTTGAGAACAATAATTATTCTGATCGTAAGTCATGGCCTGTAACACCACATGCACTATTCCAAGTGTCGAGAGGGCTATTTGGTATATATTCAACAAAATAGAAGAATGAACACTGGTTTTAAATGCTGAAATAACAATATGTTGTGTAATAGTTGATATGATTTAGAAAACTGGATATTTTAGTGTGGAATGGATGAGTCGTTTAAAAGTATGTTCATGAAGATCTTAGTAAGAATGCTGACCCTTCTTGATCGGACAATATATGGTCCATTACCCTGTATGACGCGGCAGCATGTGTAACAATCCGAACTGAAATGTACTTCTATGAACAGAACACAGCAACTCGTACTGCAGTGATCGTTGTCAACTCAGGTACTGCACAAACGTACGCGAGCGCAACAATGGTAACGGTGTTGTATTCAAGATTGTAGGGTATCATGGTAAACAGTACACTTGCAAGCGGCATATTGCACACGCGACTACGTTTCCGAGACAACGAAACTGAAAATGGTTTTGTGCTTTGGGAATAGACAATTTATCTATTCCCACGTTAAGGTTCATTTTTGTGTATATGTGCTTATGATGAAGTCTGACTTGTACAATGGACTGTGCTTTTAGAAGATATTTCTCATGGTTCTTGACGGGCTTTTGTCACTGTTATTTCAAGGATATAATGCATGGCAATCTATCCCCGATAACCTAGGTGAAGTCGGGAATCGTGCCTATCAATCACTATCGTCAAAGATACGAATGTGAATACTACCGCAACGTTCCTCAAAGAATGAAGTCACTGCATTGTAACTTGGCTGCTTGACGTCCTACCACTGTATCATGTCATCAATGGAATGTCGCGGCACGTTAAAAATTGAGGGAAATACGTGAACACGCGCGGTCGATTTGCGAAAGAAATAGCACACGAAACATTTTATCTCTGTGTGGTTAATATATTTTAAAAGGCTAAATGCAATTAATGATACGTATTAACGAAAGTATTAACACAGTAAGGGATTTTCCCAATTGACAAAGTTTGTATTTGGTTCCGTAGTTGGTGCAATAAAATGCAAACTTACCCACCTTCTCTTCTATTTGGACTGTTAAATAAATATTTGGAGAAAGTAGCCACTTCTCACACTACCCATGCGAAAAAAATTAACCCGAGGGGTGCATTACCGCGCTAACTAATCGGCTGCCCACCCCATGGGCACATTCTGAGAGATGTTTTAAACATTTATATTTTTTTAATTTGAAGTTTACACGATATACGGCTTTTCCATAGGACGAGAGGTCGGTCACATGACCGCGAATTTGACGATCATAAGTGTATGGACGACACAATTTGAAGTTCATACGTTTTTCACGAGACCGTGTTCTTGAAATTACGTAAACACTGACGGACTACTTCCACATTCCTGTGGAAATCCCTGGGAATTCCCTTAGCACGAAAACATGCATAAGCGTTCTATCTGATCTTTTAAAACCTTTATTCTTGGTCTCAGCGTTTCAGTGTCCATTGAGAAATGTCAGAGAGCGTGACTGCATGATTATTCACGAACGGCCCATTCTAATGAACAAACGAAGAAATGCACATCTAAACTATCGTAGTATCGACTCGATCTGTGCCTAGGCTGACATTGACCGTCGTCTCCAGCAATCTTTGAATTTACCTTAGGGTCTGTTTGACGCATCTTTATTCACCTTTCAATGATCGGCCAGTTGATCAATGATGACTAACACATGTAGCCGCCACAGGTCCATTAACAACTTCGGAAATCTCTCCCGTCACGTTTATCGTGTCGGCCATTTTGACGTCTTGTACTTGATGTAAATGTATTACGACGCGCTGTCATTGTGACTGACTTACTGAGGTAGTTCTTAACAGACCTTTCTCATCTAATGAGGATATGATTTGAACACATGTGCTGCGTAAGATGTTTCTGAAGAGCAAGTTGTGCATCCATACGCCCATGTCACCTGTCTTTTTGAGGAACTATTTTACTCCGCGATACAGCTGGTTGTTGTATGGCTGTCAGGGTAAACATAAACTCATACGTACTAAATAGAATTGTGTTAAAACCTTGGCCTACATCCTTTGAGGTAAGAAATTGTGATACAAAAATTATCAAGCTCCGACGTTCATACAGTTTAGCCCTATCTCTATGAAGGTTCATACTCCAATGAACTCACACAAAGTGAGACCCGTGAAGATTCGGGGGTAGAATAGGTCTTCAGCAACCCATGCTTGCCGTCAAAGGCGACCATGCTTGTCGTTAAAGGCAACTAACGGGATCGGGTGGTCAGGCTCGGTGACTTGGTTGATGCATGTCATCGGTCCCAATTGCGTAAATCGATGTTCATGTTGTCAATCACTGGATTGTCTTGTCCAGACTCGATTATTTACAGACCGCCGTCATATAGCTGGAATATTGTTGAGTGCGGCGTTAAACAACAAACCAAACCAAACCATTTTATATCTGATGCAGCCATTCGTGATGCTTCAGTGATATATCTACACTAGCATCGATGCTAACGAATGCTGTATCTATTTCCTTTTTAAGTAAATAAGGTACTTCATCTGATGACAAACCATACCTAAAGTTGTGAGTTGGAGATGTGATCACTCAGCGCGTGAGCGTATGTCAAATTTGCTGCATATATTAAACAATTCAGATGAACATTATATTATATAATCAACCACGCTAGCACCTTGATTTCCTATAAACATGAAATCCCCTACACCCGCGTCTGATCCAGATCTTTTATTTATAATATGGATGTCAAGAATACTGCACATATCAAAAAAATATTTCCCAAACCTGTTTACAGTTGAATGTACCGAAAATCGTTTCATGTTAAAACTATCCAACATAGAATCCCACATGTAGTTATCATTACCTCCCAAGTATTCAAGGATATCGTCTTCAACGAAATCAGGTAGTGTGCCAGTTCTAGAGTTAAAATCACCTCGGATGACAACATACACATCATCACATTTATAAAGCATATTCAACAGATCTTCTTGTAATAGTGATATGCAGTTTTTACATTGATGTACAAAAAAGTCAAGTAACAGGTTATTATACCAGGTAGACTTATCAAGAGTTCTCAAACACACTAACTCACACACATTGGCCATTCCATTGATGTCAGAAGGTTCTAGCCATGCGGGTGTCCATGCCCCTGCCCTGTCTGTAGCAATCGTCATCTTTGAAGGTTGAGGTCACAATACAAACAAAAGAAGAAAAGCGACACACGGTTCTGTGTTTTCTTGATTTAAGAAAAAGACGAATCGGCACTGCCAAAAGTCCCCATAAATGAACACTTGCAAAACAGTTTATGTTCTGTCCAACGCATCTTAATATATATTGACCACACCATGTTACTGAAATCCTTGCTTAGACAGGGCACGCTACATTCCAATGACAATTATTAATGACAGATATAGAGATTACCACACGAGTGTCTGTCAGATACCATTTATCTTACAACGAGTTGTTTCAAAACGTATCTAACGAGCGAAAGCGAGTTAGATACGCTTTGTAACAATGAGTTGTAAGATCAATGGTATCTGACAGGCACGAGTGCAGTAATCTCTTTCTTACACACCTAAAAATCGCACCTTATTAACATCGAACCGATGAATTTTGTCTATTCTCATGATTGCAGTAGCGCATTAATACATAACACCACTGTTATAAGTGACGTCATCATATGTGCTGCTTACTACTCATAAATAATGTGACCCTACACAAAAAGGTTTCCGTCATATCTGTGGATTATAATATATGCAAACTAGACAAAAACAAAGAACACGCTGGGTGCTAAGTTGAAAGTTTACATCTCAAAGGAATTACCAAATATGTACAACAATGTTTACTTCCGTATGACATCACTACCGGTGACCGACTTTTACAAAATGGCGTGTTCGATGACAACAGAACGCAGGATTTCCAGTGGAGGATTTTCGTTGATTGAGGGATCGTATACACATAAATGTGTCACGTAAGTAATCAGAAACATTCTGACAATCTGCGTACTGTTATTTGTTTACCATGTTTTCCAATGTAACAAAGAGAATTAGTCAGAAATGCAGATAACCACCGTCATAGTTATGCGTGATTTAGCGTCAGTCATGGCGTCACACAGGACGGAAACTTTTACGGTTTCTGTTCAATTTACCACATCATTGTAATGTATATATGTGTAATTCCATAATTAGTGCAACGATACTCTTCCCATGAATATTCTCAAACGCGTGATCGAGCCAATGTATGCAACAATTAGACGAAAGTACCTCTAAAAAGGCTTCACAGTGTAAAACCTGAATTTTGCTTTGTTTACATTTCAGCAAGTACAGTTTTCCCGAGCACAGTTTTCGTTTCCATACCTAATTTATTTCGCATGATTTCATCTAGATAATTTGCATTGGTGACAAAGACCATTTATCCATTGTTTCGAAAATGTATGAGGACATCAGGGATGCATGTATAGCAGCTGAGTTTGAAATATACCTGATCGAATAGGCGTCTCATAACCGGCATTTTGTAAACACAATCCAATATGGCGGAACGTACATTTCGGCGTTCGTGTATGCGTATTTTCAAAAACATCCTAAACGATTCTAGGCTTATCAGCGACGTTTCAGAATTATCAGTATTTTTTTGATACCTGTGATCGCTAATACGCTATTTTTCTACTTGCATTATTATTCGAGTAAATATACACTATTTAGATTTATAAACACACAGTAAATATTTATATAACGCCGTGAATTGTGATTTGGCGAGATTTACAATGGACCTAATTTTCAGAAGTCACTTTCAGTAATTGCCTGAATTGCTTAAAATGACAGTAAATGATGAACAGAATTCAAAACTGTGAAGTGTATTAGTCTGAGTGATGTATTTCGAATTTTATTCGATTTTCGAAGTGAGGTTTGAAGTGGAGGCACATATGTGTCGCTGTGGCATCCAGGGGGTTTACACCCTGAAAAAACGATAATGTTGCCATAACAACAGATAATGTAACTGATAATAATAACAAACAAACTCGCAGACGAGGACGAGTTTGTTTATTTTTATTATTAATTACACGGTCCTGTAGTTCAATACAGACGTAGGTGAACATTCGACTGAAGCACGAACAACTTATGAATGACTTACACTCAGGAAAGTAGTCCGTCATCATCTGACCCCAGGTCATCACCATGGAGTAGCCAATCCTGGGCCTGGAATTCGATCTCACACATATGTTTGATACCAATTATCTCAAATGGGTTTCTCAACCACAGGTGTGTAAGAAAATAACATAATAAGAACTTCAATCACCGGGGCGACAGATCAATGTCGACTGAAGCCTCATGTCACTGAAGCACATCTGTGATCCGCTTTGTCACAAAATGTGAACACTTTGGGCCAGTTTGCTGTGGAACACTGTAAGACCCTAAGAGCACAAAAGATGAGTTTGAATTTTGGATAAAATTAGGATAATTTCCGAACGTGCTTGAAGAAAAACTGGATGATCGATATTTGATGCAGAATACACCGCTGTTATAACTACCGCTTAAATATAGATGAGATGAAGTGAAATGGGTTTAACATCACTTTCAAGGTTATTGTACTCATATAGCGACGTGAGAGTGCATGCGTTCGTCTACGAATCCGGACTGGGGGACTAGTCATTACTATAGTGGGGTGGGCCGTGGAGATGAAGGGAGTCATATGTGTTTTATAATGTCGTTTATTTCCAATATTATTTCTTGAATTTTCTCCCCTTTAAAAAAAATGGACTGATCACAAAAACGGCAAGTGTCGAATGACGTAGTTTCTATTATGACGTCATTCCGACTCTCCGCCACAATGAGATCCGAATCACGTGCTGTCCAGATGACGTTATCAATACACTGGTGCGCGTGAAGTGATATTTACTTAAGGCCAAATACCATTTTTATTGACTCAGTTACTTCTAACCGTATATGCCAGACTAGACATATAGCTTGCTCTTTTTGCGTCTATGATTCATGTAAGAAATTATCTACGAATGGTGGGGGCACGGGTGGCCCAGTCGTCTAAGGCGCCGCGATTCGCTTTGCAGAGTTGCGTCCATTGGGCACGCCAGAAACCTATGATTGTGGGCTCGAATCCCGGTTCGCCCCGATTATGTTTCTAGGTTTGTCAGCACCATACCCGTGCTCGTGGGTTTCACCGAAGTGGTAACGCCTGAGTCTTGCATCACTTCGGGCTTTCCTCCCACATTAAGGTGACACGTCGCGATATGACTGTAATACTGTTAAAAGCGGCATTAAACCCAACTCACTCACTCACTTACTCTAACCGTATATATACATGACATGATGCACACCTTCAACATGTTTTATTTCTTAATAGTTGATCCACGTAAACATTTTTCAAAACTCAAACTGTTTGCTCCTCTCAGTTCACTTTTAACTGACTTATTCACTATGAGAACGTGCACAGTGGTTTTAAAATATTTACCATCAATACATATTCATACAACGTGTGTAGTATCTATCAATAGCTCTTAACTCATCACCGCGCGTATGATTAATTTTTCGAATCTTCGGGATAGTCCCCAAGTTCCCATCATCCATCATGGCTTCACAACAAAGACGTTAGTCAGGCTTGAACTGTAGAATCACCACAACGTACGTCAGCATAGTTCCAGTAAGCTGAAGATAGAAACATATACTGCTATAGAAGTGAATGAGTTGGTTTTAATGCTGCTTTGAACAGTATTCCAGTTATATCACTGCGTGTTAGATTACTGTGGGAGGCAATCCCAAAGTGAAAGAAGTCTCAGACGTTTACCAATTTTGTGAAACCCACGTGCACGGGTATGGTGTTGACAAACCTAGAATCACAATCGGGGCAAACAGGGATTCGAACCAACATTCATAGGTTTCTGGCGTGAGTAAGGGACGCAACTCTCGCCTTGAACGACAAGGCCACCCGTGCCCAACATCAATACCTGAACATAAAGTCACCAACACTATTGTAGCGTGCATCTCGTAGCGATAGGCATTCATTTTGCATCCATTAGGCTTAGGATGATGTTATTGACAATGATTTCAACATACCATTATTTAATAAAAAATTGCATGGCAATGCAATTCAATATTTGTGAGTATACAACGTCAACGCCAGATAATTACAATTTTCTATTTATAGTCATTAAAACTACTGGTGTGGTGAGTATTTGATGTAGTTACGGCTTTTCAATCATGATGGTTCTAATGGAACTCTTATCTTCCACATTGTTGTATTTTCCGTAATTATACAGCCATATAAAAAACAAATACACCATGATGGCTTCGTCAGTGCCAGATCTGTGTGTGAGAATTACGGATGATAGAAACAGATAGGATAATCGCCGTCCCTGTTTGGCTTCATTTCATGTCATAAGATAAAATCAAACATTATTCGTAAAACAAGTAACACGAAATCACGAAACGTAGGCGCCAATTAAATCTGCTGTATCCTGATCCGCTGATCCATCCATTTGTGATATGATGATATTCGGAATCATTTCTAATGAGATATGCTACAGCCATAAACAATAAGATAATGTAAGTAGTGCCACTGAAAAATGACGAAGCTTACACAGCTGATCACAGTTATCCAACTTAAGTAAATATTTCATGAAACAATAAATGATATGCCTGAAAGATGTTATCATCCCTTTCCAAGTTGACTTCACAAATGTTATTTGGGAGTTCTAAGGTAACCATTGGTAAGCTGTATTAAATACACCTTAGCAATAAACAACCACCACTGTATTAACAAGTGGTTATTGAAAACACAAAACGTTTATGGATAACAATTTTTGTATTGTTTGTCACGAAGTTTCAGGGCCACTTCTTGCCCCTCGTCAGGGGACTACTGAGTAAGGGTATTGAGTTAATTAATATCTGTTTACATAAGGTAGGATTACTGTACAGAGATATAAAAAAACGAAGAAGTCAATAATGCTACCTTTTGTGTCACACAAAACTGACACCTATCTTCACCTTCTGTAATGAAATGCGATGCTGACAGGGCGACCCATTGTCTCCTTACCTATTCCTGCCGGTTGCGGACATTTTGAGATTAATGAGTCGAACTGCTAATGCAATAAAAGGTATCAAACTGAATCATGTGGAACTTGGACACTATTATGGTGATACAGAAATATTTTTTGTACATGGGACAGTCACTATCAATTAAACAAAACGTTCACAAATTAATTTGGCATGGTCAAAGGGATAACATAAAACATTAACTCGAAAATATGATGATTGAGGACTGAGAATGATAGAAGTAAGGGCCATTATAAATTCTCAAAAAATGTCAGTTATCGTAACAAATCTTCATTACAAAACTGTTATAACCTAACATACTTCCACGAAACAACATATAATTCCACTTGGAGACGACATAAAAAATACATTGGACACATATATATGGTGAACAGTTTACAGAACATATAACATGAATTTTACAAACCTTGCAGAAGTACTATCAGAACCTCATTGGTGTAACCATCAGTGAAAAAAATATTATAAGGAATTGTTTTCATAATCGAATAAACACTTTGAATGAAACTCTACAATGATGATGGAAAAATGCCTTTCAATCAACTTAATACCAGATTAAATTCACAATTAGTGATTATTACCAGTTTCTATCAAAGATACCAAGTTTTACCAGATATGTTTGTAATAAAATCATAACTACAGTATCTGAAAAATGGGAGAATATTCTTGATGTATCATGGGAAGATATTTTATCAGTTATAGAAAATGAACAAAATATGTCAAATTACTGGCTTTCAAGTTCAAATGTAGCCATCGCATCATCTATACAAACGCATGATTAATGCTCATTCTGTGACACTAATTCTAAAACCTTACTCTTTGTATATTGGGATTGTAAACATGTTTTGGGCCAAAGCAGAATATTTTCAGAATGCAAAGTAATAAACATTCATAAAATGTCCATTCTGCATGAGTACAAGTCTGAGGTTCTTTCATATTGGCATGTAGTAGTGTATATGCATGCATCCAGTATCAAGACAATTAAACTGTAATTTGAAAACTTGATAAAGGTTTATGCAGTATATTTCGGACAGACGGTTTGATCGAAAATGAGACCAGTTATTTCTTCTTTCTGTTTTGAATACATGTATGATCATTTTTCGCCACTATGTTGTAACTACACATCTTAACATTCCATGAATAAGAATCCCATTCAGCATGGCATATATAACCTGCTGCTTTTACCACCTGTTGACTGAAGATGCACACTTGTGTCCTGTCCTTCTTCCCAGGTACCTATTTGATGTACATGTATGTAACCTAGAGTTTGGACCTGGCATCAATGTCATTGAGTAGGTTAAACCTGGTTTTTTTGTGCACATTGGTAATGTGTTAATATCAATTAATCTTCAACAGTCGGTTCCAGATAGAGGATGCAACGGCTGTGGCCCATTCATCTGACGCTATCCCGAAAAGTATGATTTAATTGGAATTCAAGATTTGTCATCTCATGGTGACCATACGGTAAACGTCTAAGACCTGCATTAAGCATTAATACATTAAGCTTACACTCCATCATACTAGTAGAGGTTATGTAACTAATATGATAAATATTACAGGATTAGTCACTTACGTTAATTTCCTCTCATTGAAATTTCAAACAAGGCGCAGCACTCCATTCAACTTTTTATTTCAAGCAGTTCTAGTAAAAATAATTGTATCGCTAAGAATTATGTAATGTAAGATTTCACCAGTTTCGAAAATGTGAAATGATGAAGATGGTTGAGTTCCCAAAACAAATTCTTCATGCGGGTTAAAACTGTAAAACAACCACTAAAATGTTTGCAAAGACGCAAAATGTGAGCATTTGATTAATCATTCGCCACATAAGCTTGGTTGGTTTGTTGGTTTGTTTGTTGTTTAACGCCGCAATCAGCAATATTCCAGCTATATGACGGCGGACCAGACAATCCAGTGATTAATATCAAGAGCATCGATCCACGCAATTGGGATTGATGAAATGCATCAACCAATTCAGCGACCCTGACCAACCGATCCCGTTAGTCGCCTTTTACGACAAGCATAGTCACCTTTTACGGCAAGTATGGGTTCCTGAAGACCTATTCTACCCCGGAATCTTTGTTGGTAAATAAAAAAAACTTGGTTATCTAGGGTCTACTTAATATATCTGATTGTCATCATGTAACGTTTTGCCTGACGGTCTACCTTGTACCAAAGAATAAAACACTTACCATTAGGATTGTCGAACAGTCAATTGTGAAGAGGTTGTATACTGTATACCCTATTTTTGTGGTTGTGAGTCTTGTGATGAAAATGTTGACCTGAAATAAAATCCAATTGCAAAAATGATGACATCATCAATGAGTCATTTCTAAAGGAATCGTTACATGGAAAATGTGAGATAGCAGTGTGCTTCCACCAACAGTGATATTGTTAGAGGGGTATGTACTAAGGACTGAAGGGTGCGTTTCCTGTGCCGCATCGTGCTGTGCAGAGATGTGTCCTTCATACCGCAAAGGGATCCGCATTTCGTCGGTTCGAATCCAAGTCACATTTTGATTATGACTGTAGGTGTGGAAGAACTATACGCTTACTTATTTGTTCTCGACAGAGCATATTAAGCAGAGGCTGCACCTTTTGGAAATACTACCAGTGTTTACAAACTTTAAAGAATATACATGAACTGAAAAAGAATTACGATGGGTTTGGAACTGTTTATGGGAGGGTAGTAATGTTAAGCTTAGGAAGAAATAAATAGTTCATTGCATCTTGCACAATGCGCAGTAAATACTTACAATGTTTAAACTTGTAGCTGAAAGCTCAGCAAAGTCGGCCATCAAAAGATACATCAGTGAGGAATGTGCCTGTAACAATAAACATGATATTGTTAGTAATTTGGCCAATGAGAATTGATTACAGCTGCATTCAAAAGCTATTCAACCTGAATCACAATGACCCATATGGAAGTTGAACTGTTTGGGTTTAGGTTCACCAACTATTCAAGTAATCTGGACAGCGACTGATCATGAGTATGGTTACCGCTGCATTTAAAAGCGATTCCATCTAAACCACAATGACCTTTTGTTAAACTATTTGGACCATGATAACCAATTATGCAAGGTCCCATGACTTGAGGTATGATAATTTACTTACAATCACACATTGTTGGAGACATACTCTGACCCGTAAACCGTACTGTGGATTTAAGATTTACAGTGGTATGGATTAGTCAACAATCCAATGACATTGACGTGATCTGTGAAGTTTGTATCCTGGTATAGATACAGTATTCTCCCGATTATGATTCTAGATTTTCAAGCACCATTCTGATGCTTGTGAGTAACACAAAAGTGATAAACAGCGTGTTTCTCTTCATTCCTCCAAGGGGCGGTCAGGTAGCCTTGTGGTTAATGTGTTCGTTCGTCACGCCAAAGACACGGGTTCGTTTCCTGACACTGGTACAATGTGTGAAGCCCATTTCCGGCGTCCCTCGCCGTGAAATTGCTTGAATATTGCTAAAAGAGGCGTAAAATCATACTCACTCACTCGCTAGCTCATCCCACCAAAACTGACACTCCATGTGCAAAGCACACGCTCACCTGCTTCCTAACAATGTAAGATGTTATAATACGTACCTTGATGTTCAGGGCCACTGACGCCAAAAGGGTTGATCCGACAACGATAACACTGATTAGTATACAAGTTAGCAACATTGCATATTCTTTCTTCATCAATTCATCCTTTATCAAACCATACAGCATAAGACAGATGATTGGAACCGAAGCAATATAGCCTGATCCGATCATATGCCTGAACACTTTGTCAACCGTGCAAACTAGAGAACACGTGTCTTCAAACTGGCGACGTATTCTTTCAAGATATGACTTCTGTGCATCTCCCTCTTTGCTACCAAACAAACTGGTTAACTCATTGTTTAGCTGTTTGAACTCCTTGAACAGGCAATAGGTAAGAAAACAGAAAAATGCCAGGATAAATACTGCCTGTATCACAATAAGATAAAACGCAATAAAACATATAGCTTTGACGACAGGGAAATACTCCCGTGGAAGCAGTTTCATCGGTTTTAGATACATGACAGCTGGGTCGACATTGTGAAGTAACATAAAGTACAACATTGGCACACAAATTATAACTACAAACGCAGCAGGGAAAAGAAACAGCCTGGTATTGCGCCTGAGAGCTGGGTTGTCCATCGTTGAGTCATACGTGTCTCTGTATGAATCATACTGTCGAAAAAACTTGTGCAGGTGTTTGTTTACACCGACACATGTTGCGCTGCCAATATACATACCAATGGACTGAAATCCTGCGTAGGATAATACTGCCATCCATGATTCCACAGTATAAACCTCATTTGTGTAGCGAATGAAGTACCGACACAAGGTTGACCATAACACGATGTGAATGAAGACAGAGTAAATGATACTCATTGCATTGGACATTCTTCCTCTCTCAATTGGCATGTGCAAACCAGCAATGTTTAGAATTGTTAAAAACGGCTTCAACACATCATATATATGTACGGTATTTCCACATTTCTCTACGTCAGTATCAAGTGAGGACACCTTTGAAACAAACATCCCTGCTGAACGACAAATTCAAGATTGAGATGCCAGTGTGTTCAACTGCACGCTCGTACCGTAGATCTCTATTATATGTGTCTTGCACGAATAAGGTCCAGCTTTATATGTCCGGTAAATGTCAAGCAATTATTATGTATTCCAACGAACAACCCATTATTTTGAAGACACTTAGAGTAAAAGGTTTTGAGAGCTCGGTATCATTGTTCGTTAAACGCTTTAATGGTGGTCAATAAAAGGCATCTCATATAATAGAACGTTTCAAGGAAGTCAAGAGCCATGTCAACTACATTTGTCAGTTGCCGTTTGGCGCCAGATAAGGACAATGTAATCGCAAAAGAACTTAAAATCAGGAATAGTCTATTAAATGTCAAAAGGGTAACTGTTGATACCCTGTACCCAACAGTATCTGCTGTTTGTTATTTTTATTCATGTTGTTAAGTGTACAAGTTGGTTTGAACGGAGGGGTGCAAAACGGTAGAATAATATTTGTCTAAGGGAGAGAATTTTTGGATGTCAACTTCTTTATAATGAGGACGAACGTTTCAGAGTATATGCTTACTTCTTCATCAGGTGATCATGAATGACTGGTTTGTTTGGGTTTTAACGTGCACTTTGTGACATATGCGATTCGTGAAAATCTTGTGATGACACCAGGTGTTCGCCATTTCAGAACACATCCTCAAGAACCAAGACCATAACATCATGTGAAAAGCCACCAAAGTTCTGTCTAGTAACAACAACAACTGGCGACAAAGAAGACAACAAGAAGCCATCAGGAGACACCAGCCAGCCATGAACCGTGACCATGGAACCTATCTGCCTTGTGCTTGGGACCTATTGCTTTGATCTTTTTCGGTGCCAATTATCTAGCTGGCTCCCATTTGCCCTTTGTAATTTCTATTCTTTCACCTGTCAGTGCTAGTTGCCCCCGGCCTTCCCTCAGCCCATTGTCCGTTGCCAATTACCAATCAGTGATAATTTAGTCCTGGCTTTCAGTTATCCATAACTATCAGCGCTAATTACTGTAAAGTGTTGGCTTCCATTGTCTTTTGCGTATCACCTATCATCGCCAATTATCTGTTGGCTTCCCTTGTTACGTTTCCACCTTTTGTTATCTTGTTGCTTTTGTTGTTCTTACATGTACATGTATGCTCTCTGCCTCGTAGTATTCGTTCACCTGATGGCATATACCCCGAAATGTTGTGTTCCTCATAATGAAGAAGTTGACACCATTAAAGTCTCTTCCTTATGTGTATCACTTCTAAACGCCTTTCCAAAACTTAACATTTGTCTAGTAAGGTAAATTTGATGACAAGTGGATTTTTATGTCACACTTTAATACTGATGGGGATCTTAAAGTTAAATCGGAGATAGAAACACCAAACTCATTGCAAAATTGGCAAAACTATGATTTGCGTCTGGTATTTTTTCTTTTGACCCGTGGGGATTCCTTGATAGAATAGGCCTACAGTAACCTATGCTTGTAGTAAGAGGCAACTAAGTGGATCTAGTGGTCAGGCTTGGTGATTTACGAATCATCGTTGCCTGCTGGCTGGGGACATTGCATTATCTTACATTCAGTTGTACACATTTGTGAAATAATTGTGTTCACTTTCATACAATTTAATTGTATCCTTTTCTGAGATACAAATTGTGACAAGCGTGTTATTTGTCTCACATGAAAAGTGTATTCAATTAAATTGATTTTCAATCAAATATAAAGATCTACATTATTGAATGCTACTTGTTATTGTAGTTTCACATTGCGACGCACTACAATTTTCAATGATTACTTCAGACACATGGTGACCTATACACTTGTTGGGATGGTCTCGGAAACACCCTTCACAACGTATCATGTACAATAGGGTTGATGCTCAATTTCCATGTGATAACGTCAATAAGTGTATGGCTATTGCAGGGCCTGGTTTAATAACTGTCAGACACATACATGTATGCTCGTGAAAGCAATGCCATCAGGCTACCCGTACCTCTGAGGTTATTCAGTGTGAAAATATCATCCTGCGGGTTGGAAAATGTTAACTTGATAGAGAACAACATAACTGAGATAAATATATCCATTATTGGGCGTTCAAGACATGAAATCAGTTGCAACATATTCTCGTTTGATACCAATAAAAACAGTAATAATGCGTTGTTTTTCATCACATTTATTGTTTGTCAGTGGTGGATAGTTATTTTACAATGTTTCTGTCCTTCACTGAAGAGAGTGAAAAAAGACAGTCGTCTTTGTCGTCACTGTTTCATTTGTTGACATCTCTTTTTCGTAGCACTAAATGGATATAAACATTAATAGATTAATTCTAACATCTACACTCTATGCCGTTGATGTGTAAAGAAATGTCAATCAGGCTTGATTTGAAGAACCACAATGACGTAAGTCAACATTGTTCCAGTGAGCTGAAATCAAACAGAAACATCATATCATATTCAAACTTGCGGGTGTAACGATCAGTCCAACTGAACGATAGATGAATAGCACGTGGTCGGAAGGCAGTAGATGCACAAGTTGAAATATCAAAAGTTGAGATCGATATCACTCTTCACAATCGACATATCTTTTTCATTTGTGTTATTATTATACATATTGTAACAGAGACATGTGTATCACTGCGAAGGACATAATACATTGTAATACTCATGTAACTCCTATAACCCGTGTACCCCACATTTAAGACTTACATCTACCACCACAGTACTTACCATTAGGATGGTCGAGCTGTCGACTGTGAAGAGATTGTACAGGGTATACCCAATATTTGTGGTTGTTATTCTTGTAATGAAAACGGTAATCTGAAAAAGGAAAAAATACAGAAATAACAGCATTTGTTGTGTTACTACGGAGAGGCGCCAGGCAACAAACAAACACTTACTTTATATGGAAATTGAGTGAGTGGAGGATGCTACGGGCATCATTGGCATAATGCTGTCCAGACTGTTCATTCTTCAAGTTTAGGTGTAAGTTGAACTGTGAAGGTGCCTTATTTGGTGAATACAGAGGATTTTAAAGAGTTCGTATGGAAGCGTCGGTGCCCCCGACAAAGTCGCTGTCCAGCTGTGGATACAGAAGCTGGTTACATAACAGGTGGTTTGATCACATATCTGTTAACCTATTATGAATACCTGTGTAGATTTGTAAAAATACCTTCTGTGTATAATGATCAGAATAGTTATGTATTAGAACTGACAAAATACTATCAGTGCTGCTTATTTTTATATATTCGCCTGTTTAGACATACTCACGCTATTTTAGTCTAACAGTT